AATAATAATAATAATAATAATAATAATAATGATAATAATAATAATAATAATAATAATAATAATAATAATATAATAATCTTAATGAATATGTTTCAGTGTATCAGAAAAACGTTCATGATGTCCACTCATGTTCATCTAGATAATGCAAAATGTCAAATACACAATCGTTTTTATGTATTTGCAAATTTATCCTCCTCTACTTTAAACCTATACCTAAAAGAGATGAGTAATTCCAAAGAGGTAGCTTAAAGTTAACAATCATCAAGAAGTTACAGTAAGCAAGATTTGAAGGTCACTCTCCAAATCCCTCTCCTGATGCTCTTTAACAACATATTAAACAAAAAAAGAAAAAATAGTTTAAGTCTTCCACAGAATCCTTACAATTCTTTCTCGAGACAAAAAAGAGGGATTGATTTGTTAAAAACAATACAAAATGGTTCCGAAAATTGTTGACAAAGAAAAGAATTGCTTATTAAGCATACCTTGCTTAATTATCTTGCAATTTGCATGCAGTAAGCCTTGCATGCATGTAAGCTTCAATAGAAACTTCAGAAGCTCTAAGAAGATATCCAGAATAAGTAGGGATTAATTTAGTAGAGAAGATTCAACTATATGCAGATTCGGATGACTACAGGACTACCAATGATCATTTACTGAATTTTAGCTAAATTATTTTTTTCCCCATAAAAGTTCTAGTTCTAGTTACTGTATATTCCTATCATTTTAATTATTTTACTAGTTTTAGGTTTGCTATTTTACTAGCTTTTTAGGTCTGAATTATTGGGTCATCAGTCGCCTCCATCTGCGACTTCTTGAAACATTTCCATCAGCACTATCCCATTGTCGCCTGTCTACGTAACTAATAATAATAAAATACATTCTTGAATAGACAAGGGGTCACTACTATTAAAGGTCATGCTATTAAAGAAGTAGTTGTGCTAGGCTGGGCACATTTCCAGAATGAAGGACTATTGCCTTCCTAAAATTATACACTATTGTCAACTAGCCATTTGCTTCAGCAATAGCCACAAAGAAGAAATTACAATAATTCGTTGAAATGTCTTGGCCATATAGACTATCATTAATGATCCAATCCGGCCTTAAATCAGAAAATATGAAGATGTAACGCTGCTGTTTCATTACAGAACACATATAATATTAGTCTTGAGAAAATGACGTTGTAAAAAATCGTATCTTATCAATACCATCTAAGAAAATTTTTCGCTATACCTTTTGCAACCGGAATTACCTATTCCGTATTAGCCTGTTTAGCTATCGGTATGTTTAAAACAAGTATGGATAGAACTCTTTTACATATCGTTGTTCGTGATGTTAGCCATAAAGATGATGACATTATGAAATTGAAATATTTGAAGTAACATTGTAATATGAAAAAAAAACAAACAAATAAACAAACAAAGAAACAAACAAACAAACAAACAAACAAACAAACAAACGAAAACAAATTGGAAAAGAATAAAAACAAAAATTTTAGTTTATGGAAAAAATTTCATTTGCTGTAATAAATCAAAAATTAACAAATTTTTTGTGATAATAAAAAATGAAAATTATTTATTTATTTTTTCAATATTTTATTTCGAAATAATAAAATGTAAAATAAACAAATAAAAATTTATTATTTTTCATTTAGCCGATCATTTCCATCTTCCTTTACTCATTTCAAAAATAGTTGCCTAACATCCAATCAAAATT